GGAGGGGGGCTGGAAAGCCCACTTGCCACCAGGGCGTTAGTTCATTAGTTTTAATAAATAAATGTATCAGCCCAAGTTAGAGGTCGGAGCATTTTAATAAATAAAGATCGGCTCTTAAACTGCAGTGATTTTTAGCTGAGTAGCTAATCTTCTCAAGGGCTTAGCTCGGAGGGATCAGAATAAACAGATAATAGAAAGTCGTTACAGGCACTGTCCCCTTAAACTCTGCTTAGGAAGTTTTATTCTTTTGAGTTATTTCAAATTCTGTGAATTATATCTGAATATGGGGGGAGGGGGGGCAGGGGGGGGAGATTAAAAAATGTTAGCTAGATACATTCCCCTCGACTGGAATGTTTTAAAGAGTGAGTTCATTATATACCACCACATTCAATTTGCAAATGCAGTTCCCAACGCTATTCTTCATGGTTAATAACTGGGAATTGATTGAAAAGGGAGGTCATGCAGCTTTCAAAGCAGAAAGAGCCGAGCCTAATGGGGCTAGTGAAGAGATGGTTTTACATACACACTTTCAATGGTTGTTTTATTAGATGTTTGCAGGTTGTGATTAACAGTATGTGGCAATTTTATTATTGAACAAACAATGCCTCTGACAAGCAGGACACAGCCTGCAAAGCGAACGTGAACTGTGCAAAGAAGAGATTGCACTTGGAGTTTCCACCCGTTTATACAAGCTAATTAGGGCAAATCATAAATTACTGTGGGACGGGAAGATTTGTATGTGAGTTGGTGGAGCTCTCCTTGAGCAAACCGTCTTCCACTCGTAAATTATCTCGCTCAGGAAAATGACCTTTACAGGAAGAAAAGGAGGTTTACTAAAATGGGAATGGGGAGAAGGAGAGGCCAAGCCTGGAGAGCAAGCGGCGCCTCTTGACCCTCTCCCAAAGGCAGAAGCTGCCCAGGCAATAAACTTCCCTCCATTCCTCCCTTCCAGCTCCATGTCAGGAGAGCGGGATGCTGCTCCCCGTGACTAACAAACCCATCTTCAGAGCTCTTCCCCCACCAGCTGTCCGTGAGCACCCAGCACCGGCTCCTGCCCTTCCCCAGCAGAGCCTGGGTGGAAGCCCAGAGCTGTCGCGGGCTGCAGACATCCTTTCCATAGCCAGACACAGCGTGGGGAGCCTGACATTTTCGAGGTCTCAACCTGTTGCCCGATGGAGAGTATTTAAAGCCCAGAGCGTTATTAATAAACCTCGTGCAACGAACGCAGCCGAGAAGGGCTTTTATTCTAAAAGGGAGGATTTTGAAAGAGCCCAATCCTGACCCCAGTGGGGATTTTTGGCTCATTCTACAAGGATCAGGATTAATTCCAAAGGTGGTCGTTATTGAAAAGAGACAACATTTGGTTGGCAAATGTATTTGCTTCCTCCCATAGTTCCTGCTTAACCCACAGACAGTGCTTGGAAGGAGTAGGCCAGATTCTGCTCCATTTACTCCGGGTTTGTCTCCAGCTGACGGCACCGACAGCAGTAACACCTCTTCAGGTTTACACGAGTCAGAAGGAACTGGCTGCAGCATTTCTGTCATTAATAAACCCCCAGAAATTTTGAGATCAATACCAATCTGAGGATACACAGTATACCCTGAACGGGCACTTGGCTTGCAAAATCACAGCTGACATAACGGGATGTGTAATGCTCTGAGCTGGCCCTAATAAATCGTCCCCCACTGGCACGCACCTGGGTGTATTCCAGTCCGCAGGTGAGGTGGACAGGCTGGAGATGTGCACATCTGCCCCAAAATCCTACAACCTGGAGAAGAGACCCCTGTCCCGGGCTCACCAGTGAGGTTCTTGGTCCCATCATGGGAGGCATCACCCGTCCCAGGTGCTAGCTGGGGTGGGAGCTCAGCAGAGCAAACTCGTGGGGCTCCTAAAGTTACCAGAGCCACAAGGGTTTCAACAGCTCGGAAACCAGATCTGCTGCGGCCACAACGACCAGCGTGGGGACTGTGGACACCTAACCTCGCTGCCGGAGGAGAAGCTGCTGCCTGAGCATTCACACCCCATCCGACGAGTCACACAGACACCACCCGACTCTGTCACTGCTCAGCCTGGGGTCCCTTCGCAGCGAGCGACCCCAATGAGCCCACGGGTGCCCCTTCCGAGTCCTCACACACACACACCATCACATACCATCACACACCATCACACACCATCACACACACTCTCTCATTCCCGGGCGCGCTCCCTCCTCCTTCAGGCTCAACCCTAGGTTTCCCGCAGCAAAGTCTCAGGCGTCAAGTTTTATAAACGTGATTAATTTTACCCTTGCGATCTACACACCCGCCCCCGGCGCGCTCTTCACGCGTCTTTCAGTCCAATGGTGATTTTTGGTCTGGGGTCTTCTAGCACCTTCTCGGATTCTCTCTCTGTGTCCAGCCAGACCGGCCCTTGACTGCTCTGCTCTCGCTGATTTGCAGTCTCTGCTGCTTCTGTCACCTCCTGATCTTCTGGTTTACACTTGTGTACCTGCGCTCGCTGGCAGAACATGGGGAACGGAGAAGTCCCAGACTTAGGGAAAAACACTACCAAAACATCAGTGTGTTATCCACATTCTCCTCGTACTAAAAGCCCAAACACAGCACTGTGCCAGCTGCTAGGAAAATTACTAAGAAAATTATCGCGGCCTAAAGGCTTCAGCAGATCTTGCCGCTCATGCTAAGTAAAGCTAGGCAAACAGCGCAAGGCACACCATAGTATAACCCTAAGTAATTTATTCTAATTAAAACTTATTTAAGCTAAACAAGCAATGCCTCTCAACACTCACCTTCTCCCTGATCTTCCCCATTTGATGTTATTTAGCACGTAGCAGCCGTTTGCAAACTGCCACAGAAAGACAAGATAGGACTTTACAAGAAAATCCCTGGTTGTCTCAGGTATGTTTCGTAAAGCAGCCGATTCTATTTCATATATTCCTCCTCCCACCTTGCCTACAACCTCTCAAAGGCTGTAAACCTCCCAGAGACCCTGCTGAAGGACGGAGCAGCGTCTCCAGCCCCGCAGCCTGCCCGCCGGAGACCCGCTGCCAAGGTGACACCCCACCAGGATTAATAGAAATAAATACATAAATAAATAAATAAATAAAATCAATTTCTCAAGGTCATGGGCACGGTGAGAGCGGGACCAGGCATCCCTACATGACACACGCCCTCCTCGCTAGCGAGGCTGGAAGGGGAACCTTTGCCAACATCTATAAAATGTGCTGGGTGTGCCACCGTCGTGTACTGTCAGATGAAACCCAGACAGTAAATCAAGCAGCGCGGCACAGCTTAATGCCCTCGTCTGTGATTGTACGTGATGCACAGCCTCTTCCCATAGAGTTGCGAGGATCAGCTGTGCGGAGGAGGGGGGAAAAATAAAAATAAAAATCCGATTTGACTTTCGGGGTTTGATGCTACAGCGTTTCCCAGGCTAAGATGAGATCAGTTAAGATGAGATCGGTAGGTCAGCCCCATAGTTTAAAGCTTCTTTCTGTTTTTATGCCTATTAAGCTGGCCTCTTATATATTAAGTCTGACAGAGGTGCTGAATGCTTTATGTAATAATTTTTTATTTTTTTTTTTACTGGATCTAATTCTAGCTGACTCAAATCTGGGTTTT